GGGGCGGGGCAGGACAACAGGGAGAGGTGGAGAGAGAACAGGAGACAGAGCGAGTAAGGGATTTTCAAGCTACTCAAAAGGACTCTGGCTTTCACCATGAGTGAGATGGAAGCCACTGAGGTTTCAGATGCTCCTAATATTGTTTAGGCCCATGAAAAAGGTACTATTACCTTCATATTATTTATTATTAAAAGAAAACCAAAGACACACTTATGGCAGCTCTGCCAAAGAGCAGCTCACTGGCTAGAGTCAAGTGAATTAAAAGGAAGAAGGGACACGTTTCTGGCACTATTTAATGACAGCTGTATAACCCAGTTCAAGTCATGAAATTTCAGTAGTCTTTCTTTTCTCACGTATAAATGAATGGACTGATCACGATCGCAATGGTTAACTTTTCTTTAAAAAACAAAACACAACAGGATCCCACAAGCAAATAGTTTTAAAACCAATGAAAGCCCATTCCTCTGACTGTAAGGGAGCTTGGCCTCCCTCTCCCTTGCCCTCCCTCCTCCCAGGCACTGCCTCTGACCTTCAAAAATCTTCTAAGAACACAGAATGAACACCTGTGGACTCACTCTAAAATTCTATAGTCCTAATTTACCCTCAATTATTCAGATCAAATATTCATCAACCCTACTAGTCATCATTTACTTTAATTTTAAATCATACCCTCAAAATTTAGCCACGTTTACACTGTTGTTGGGGTGGTCCTCATTTCTTCATTATCATCTTTTCCTCTTCTTATACTTAAACTCTGTAAAATTTATACCAAAATACTTAACATTTTCTAATCTAATTTACTGCTCTCCTCCACTGGCAGACTGAAAGACCTCGCTTCCCATCTCACAATTCTAAACTCACCGTTACATAACTGAAAAAAAATTAAAAATGGATAAAGTAAGTGCAAAACTGACCTAACACTTGAATGATTAAAGTTGGTAAATAGACATCTTTTCCTAAAAACAACTTTCACATTATACTGTCAGAGACTGAAAACAAAAACAGAATTTTTAAAGCGATGCATCATATACCTCATTGGCTCCACTGAACAGAGGTTCTCCAGTGTGCATTTCAACCAAAATACACCCAAGGGACCACATGTCGATAGCAAGGTCATAAGGCATTCCCAGTAGCACCTCTGGAGACCGATAAAAGCGACTCTGAATATATTGGTATATCTGAAACATATTTCAAAATAGTATTAATTCCAAAATAAGTTTTGTTTAACTGTGGTCAACAATGAATTAAGAACACAAGTCTAATATTAACAGCAAAAAATAAGTGGATTATTAGAGTTCCATTTACTGATTTCAACATTAGACTATGAATACCGTTTAAAGAACTAAACGTTTCAAGGGAGTGGTAAATCTGACTATGAAATGCAAAAAAAAAAAAAAAA